TTTTCCTCCATGTGCTTGGCGCATAGTCAGTGTGGGTTGCAGTCAAATCAAACGGTGTGTTGTTCCAGGAGATTCGCACATTTTGGTTCCAAGCACTCATTTGGAAGCTTGGGTTTGCACGTCTCACAAATGCCCACATTCACCCATCATATTTCTCCCTCATGGGTACCGCTGAAGAAGGATGGTGCTGGGTACCGGTGGAAGCTCATGTTGTATCGGCTAGTCAAGAGGACTATGAGACCGTCGCCACCTGGTTGAAGAAGCAGCTGGGCAGCTTGGCAGTGATAGTCTGGTTGGTTTCCTTGTTTTCTATTAAACCTTGGGCCTTGGGCCTTGAATGAATGGCTTTGATGCTCAGAGATTCAGGATGTTTCACCGTGACATCGTCCTTATTTCTTTTGTGCTTGTGAAATCTGCGGGAATTTTGCTTGAGTGTGCTTCGATCAAGGGTCCAGAGTCCAGATCCTTCAAAAAAGAGAGAGAGAGAGGCTAACGATTTCGAGGTGAACGGGTACAGAAGGTGCAAGTCTCTGATCGCCTAGTTGAGTCCATGGCCACCTTGGTGCAGGGAGATCCTTGGGCTGCTTTGGGCTGGACTCTTCTTGATAGGGAGAGGGTCAGCATGGGCCAGTTAGCAGCTAGCACTTTCATTTTAATCTTTTGTTTTCTCTATTTTTTAGGCCGCAGCCTGGCCCCCTACTACTTAATTAAGTAGGCGCCTACTTAGTTCAGTAGGGCCAAGCTAGCTCCTAGGTAGGACGCGGGATAGCTCACACTTCTTCAAGGAGGGCGAGGGAGAACTTCCTTCACACGACTCTTCCTAGTTTGTTAGGACTCATTGAGATTGAAGATTCCTTGCTCACCAGATCAGGCTAATTGAGCATCGCAGCATCACATTACATTTTCTATTATTTTCTGCTTGTTCGGCCTTTTTGTGCTTTTCCAGAAATGTTTGCTGTAAGGAATGGGGCATGTCTCCAATGATGCAGCGATACATGAAGTCGCAGACCACCTCCAGTGCATCCGACAGCGCGTTTGCAATTGGATCCCGCAACCAGGTGCTGTTCCAGGGCTAGGATTGTATAGAATGATGCGCTGATTGGAGTGGCTTCAGTTGCTGAACTCTTGAACCTTGGAAACCTACATGTATGCATCCGAAAGAAGATGCTTACTAGCAGACTAGCATGGGCATCGGTGCAGCATAAACAAGCAGACAAGTGAACACCCATCCAGTTTGAAGTGTAGAGGCAATCCTGGAGATCAATCCCAAGCACAGCGTGATCAAGGCGCAAGAGGGGGAGTGGAGTTCTGACCAGACAGGATGTCTTGCAAGTCGGGCTCATGTGTTGACACACTGGAGGCTCTGAAGGAGATGATGGAGAAGTCTCCTGACTCATCAGAGACCGAAGACATGGCCACTCGGCACAGACTTCACCTGCAATTTTTGCCTAGCCTAGTCCGCTGTTGACCTGTCAGGTTATGATGATCTACGAGACAGCTGCACTCATTGGTGGCTATACCATCGAGGATCCAGGCACATTGAAGGTTTTGGTTGGATGAAGAAGCAACTGAAGCATTTGCATTGGAACATTTGCACCTTTGTTAGAGAGGGAATCTCCACAGGCCCAGTGTTTTCGCTCCTAAGAGCCGCTGTAAGTCTGAACAGTGTAAGGTCAGGTTATATAGCCACAGGCAAAACTTAAAGTCCTTAATATTAAACACATTTATACAGTACTAACATATTATGAACTTATGAACTGTTGATGACCATGCATGTGAAACATCTTTGATTATTTAATGACACTAAATTGCTTACTTCAATTGCCATCTCGAACCTTTCTAAAGGGAGGGGTATTTATTTTTGGATGGTTTTTTGTTTCTTTTTTGGATTTTTTTTTGTTTTTCGTGGCTTCTGGCTTCTGGGGCTTCTGGCTTTTGTGGCTTTTGGCTTCTGTGGCTTCTGGCTTTTGTGGCTTTTGGCTTTCGTGGCTTTCGTGGCTTCTGTGGCTTTTGGCTTTTGTGGCTTTTGGCTTTTTGGCCTATCCATCTATCTGTCTATACCTATCTATTTATCTATCTATCTTTCTTTCTTTCTTTTGGCAGCTGTTCTCCTTTCTCTTTTTGTATTTGCTTTTCCTGTTGTTTTCGTTGCAGAGACGAAACCAAACAAGGAAGCAAGCAAGCAAGCAAGCACGAGCTGCTCACCTTTGGATCTGGTGTGCTGCTGGGGGGG